ACGTTGGTTTGTAGTTCGGCTGGCTGTAGGCTGGCTCGCTCTTGTCGGTGTAGCTGTAGACGATGAGGGCCCCCAGTGGGCCCTAAGGGGGGGAGATCCAGACGGCCACGTTCGTCGTTCCCGTGAGGCTGCAGAGGCCCTGGGGGAAGAAGAGGCGAGGGAACGTCTTTGCAGATCGGGCACTCAAGGCAGTCGGGAGGCCTGTACTGCCACAGCTGCGCCGTGTTCTGGCGCACACAGCGACGGGCATTCCACCCGCGAAGAAAGCGACGTGCACAGTGATCACGACTGCGAAAGACGGTGTGGCATATCAAACATTTGTTACCCACAACCAGGAGACTGAGTACACTGCGCATCATGTGGCTGGGTTCCTTGCTGTGCGTCTGATGTGCACGCAGCGCCGAAAGAGAAGTAAAGGTGCGACCACATTTCGATCCCTCCTTCATCTCAATCTCGCACGTATGAAGCTTCTCGCCTTCGATACCTGTGATCTCTCCCTCAAGCGGCATCTGTTCTGCTAGTGGTGCACCGTGAGGTCGCCACTGTTGAGAGAAAAAGCCAGCTCTCAGGGTGCGTGGGTCGATGGCTGTGTACATGTCGCGGGTCTCCTCGTCCTCCAGAAGCCGCTTGATACTTCTCGGGTGCCACATGTCGCGTAATTCAGTAGCCAGATCAATGGTAAGTAGAATCTCGATATCGTCGTGGAGCTGCTTGGCCAAAGGGTGGATGGGGGCATTCACGTTGATCACCCCTTGATCGCCCAAGATCGGCACATTCATTTTCGCTGCACCTTCGAGGGCCAAGTTGCCGAAGAAGCCGACTAGGAAGTGAATGTGCTGCGGCATATCCGTAAGAATGTCGCGCCACCAACATAGTCGTCGTACCGTAAGTTCAAGCGCAACTGGTGTCAGCTTCCAATATCGCCAAACGTTAAGAGAGGGCCAGAAGCGATGTATGCCGTGGGCCTCAGTGTGAGCACGACCCTGGAGCATAGAGCGAAGCTTCCCAATCAAGTTGGAGTCGAGGGCCTGAAAGTCGGCCTTGGTGTACAAGTAGCTCTCTCCTCCAGACGTGGCCGCGCTGTGGACACATCCTCCGAAAAGAAGACGCTTGGGTTTCCAGCCAGCCTCGGAATGCCAAAAGCCACTCAACTGATTCCAGGCGCGGTTGATAGCACGTAGACGTTCAGCACGCTCAGCGACGTTGCTACCAGATGCAGAGAACATGCCGCCAAGGTGCTTCAGTTCAGGTAACATCTTCCCCACCAGACGTCGATCTGTCGCCAATATGTGTGTGGTACCACGACGAGAGGCGGCGACGACGATCTCGGCCTTGGTGCGGTTCTGCTTGTACTCTTTTTCTTCGCCACTGGTGTCCAGGCACTCGGCGTCTAAGTTGCTCACGTCGCGGATCTCGTCTGCTGTTGCCTCAGGTGGTAGGGCCAAGAGTTTCAGTAAGTCATCAATGAAGAGCCCAGCACCAACGTTGACAGTGTCGTGAACCATTTCTGAAGAAGCCAATGTGTATTTAGAGAAGCCGCTGGCGGTGGCGATGTACTCAGATATACTTTCGTAGTAATTGCCCATGAAGAATTCTGGTTCGTTGCTGTCGCCCATGAGGCCGCCACTGCCAGCTTTGAGGTATAACCAGCCCTGCGGAGAAGAGATGCGCATAACTGCGTGATAACGACGCTGAGCAGTGAAGTCCATGTTGCCTTGAATGCGTCGCTGCATCTCGTCGGGCTCGCCTAGGTCGACAAACTTCTGTAAAACACGATAGCCAGCGATGATCATGAGGTCATCCAGCTTCCCACTCTGAACAGCAGCTCTTCGGTCATAAGATTTAGCAACCAGGGTCCATTTACATGCGCGTGCACGATGAGCGACCACGCGCGATAAACACATCATTGCATCCCTTCTGCGCTTGCTAATGCCACCGTACGCCCACTCAGGAGATGCGCATGGTCCGCCCTCGTGGTTCGTGATACGTCTGAAGAAACTTCGCCACCATGGGCAGACACAATGAAGAAGACGAAGGCCAGGTGGTCCAGGGATGGCTTTCCTCTTGTCCAAAGCGAACGTCTGGCTCATATTAGCCTGGTTGGGTGTGGCAAGAGTGGCACGAGCATGCGCATGTAGATCAGTGAGGATCTTCGACGCCTGAGTGTACTCGTCCAGGGGCAGCTTTCTCTTAGAGGGGTCGGGCGGGTTCTCGAAACCCATGGGGTCGAAAGCCATGAATAATCCCAGTCCTGCCGTCTGCGCTCCTGGTTTGCTGAGGATGCACGGGTTGGTCATAGGTATATCTCCGTAGGTAAACTCCAGCATGGTGCGAATTTGCGCCTCTTCATTTTCCACAAATGTTTGCGAGTCTCGAAGAAATCATCTTGGCCTAGGAACAACTCTTGGATGCCTATCGCAACCGCGGGTCCTTCGGGCCGCGGGGGTAGTACAATTGGTTCGTCGGGGCGATGCGCGACTGCAAGTGCTGGTAAGATATC